GAAATCTTCGGGTCACACAATACCCCTGAAGCCAACCGCCATTTGGCCCAAGCCACTCCAACACGATGTCCAACATCCCCGTCTAACTCCCCATCAGCCTAGATTACCGAGCCAAGATATCGAAACCTGTCTACCTTAGGTACTAGGTGAGAGTCAATCCTAACTTCCACCTCTGATTCTGTTTCTCTGCCGCTGAAACGACACTCCATGTATTCAGTCTTGTTCCTACTTATTCTGAACCCTTTAGTCTCAAGGGCAAGGCGCCATTGTTCCAACTTATCGTTTAGTCCCTCACGTGTATCGTCGATAAGCACAATATCATCCGCAAAAAGCATGCACCATGGGACCCCTGTTAATAACTCCGCAAAACACCAAACCCATTACATCTACACCCAAAATAGTGGATTTGCCTTGCAAATAAGTACTATGTGAATAGATTATTCGTTTAAGTAAATATGGCCTGGCAAGAGCTTTAGAATGTGATAGATTACCTTTTAATTATTTAGACCTTGGGAACAGGACCTCTTTAACTTCTAACTTCATCAATAATCAATAGAGGCAGATACACAATTCCATTCAAGAAATTGCAAAACAAATTGACCCAAGTAGAAACATTGATATTAATTTGAAACTGAAAAGATGTAACAAGTTTCAAAAAATCCCCTTATATCCCCCACAACAATTGAAGAGGGAAAATTAACTGGAAAAAACATTCAGCTAAAAGACAAGCATACACAACTAAAAAAGTAAAAAGTAAATTTCTCAGGTTATAAATAATTAAAGATCTGAACCTGAGGTATCAACAACTTTCTAGGTATAAGCTCCTCATGACGGCGTGCACAGAACTCCCAAGAGACGATCTGTTAATAAGGGAAAAGTACTTAATTACTCTGTAGTTTGGACTTTCTTCTCTTTAAATGGAAGGGGGAATAAGCAACATGGAAAATCACATCAAAGACCATTTAGAATATAAATAGTTCTTGATAATTAAAAAACCCAAATCTCCACAAGTAACCTTCAGATCAGGTGAGAAGACTACTCGAAGCTGACCATCACGGACAACACGAAGTTGTTCAAACACACTCTCCTGAATAGCTTTTGCATAGTCCAGGACAATCTGCCCAGAAGAATTCTGATACTCGCAAGGCATATCAACATAAAGTAATTCCTCCAATGTGCCACTTTCATACTTTATCTTAAAAAGCCTAGGCAAGACCTCTACAGTTGCCTCTGTAACAACAGTGAGGTGCATTCAAACACTAATACTGATGCAGAAATCAGAATTCAAGGATTAATGGAATAGGTACAAAGCTCTGAAAAATGTGTTGAAGACTTGAAGCCGAGATATCGCTTTCCTTTTTATATATAATAAATGTATATTCAACACAAAAACAACTACTCTATACCATAAAAAGTTTAGTTCTTTACTTTAATGACTAACTCAAAATAGACTTCATAAATTTTTATTTCGGTCCTGGTAAACTTTTTAATTTAGATATAACATTTTACATTTTCTCTCTCTATCACATCAACTACTTCCTCTTTTCTTTTTCTCTCTTATCCCACCAACTACCTCAAATATTGTGTTTTATCTTTATGCTATTAATTTTTCCCAGTTTTCTGACTTTTCTCTAGTGTGCCCACACAGTGTGAACTTTTTATGTGGCAGAGGAAGCAGTAGAGCACTATATGAACAAGAAAAACTGCTAAAGTATTATCACATGTATGCTTTGGGGGATTGACATATTTACGCATCTATACAGAGTATATAACAAAAGCCCAACATTTCAGGAAAAAGAAAACATGAATATGATAACAGATGGCTGTGCAATTATGTGAAAGTACATGTGAATGACACGATATCATACCGAACCCACGCCCAGGTTTGCGGTTGCATATTTCACAATGCCAGACATCCTGCAATTGTCAGAAGAGCGACTGAATTTGGTTGGATATGGAATGAAGATAATTGACATACATTAATCCTTAAATATAAAATCATCATCAATCAAAAGTATGTGTCCTCTTCAATATAACATGCAACATCATTACAATAAAAAACAACACACGCAAACATTAGGTAAGGCCACTCCTTGCTGAAGTTGAACTGTAAATGAATATTTTGCGGAAACAAACCTGAGGAAAGACCCCATTTGTCTGACGGCCACTTCCATACATTGAGACACACCACTTTTTCTTAGCATTGGGAGCAAAATACTCTGCTACATATTTCCTCCAAAATTCAATATTGTTGTCCTAAAAAATAACAAGTTGTTAAGCATGGTAGAGAACCTAAATGATCAAAAAAATCCATAACAATGCAAAAAAACACTATGTATATCATATGAAAATTACTACTCCACATTCTTTTCACTTTTTTTAAACTCAAATTAACCAATAAAAACATATATCTAAAAGTTGTGCATTTGGCAAAACATGGCTCTTTTACGGAGGGGAGGGAGTATTAAACAATGCCTAAAGAATGTGAGAATGTCATAATGACAAATGATGGAAAGTACATCAATAACATTAATGGTGAATTTTGGTCTCCAATTCAGGTTATAGGAAAGTCATCAATTTTGATGACATGTTCCATATAAGCTTTATTGACTTAACAATATGATGTAAGCAAAGATATCTTCAAGGCATCGCTCTTACCTCAGGTCTGTGCTGTTGCTGATACATGTAATTAGTCAATCTGCGTGCACACATCCCAGGCTCATAAAATGGTTTTGCTTGAGATCTAAAAGATATATTCGATGGTTGATATTGGGGCTGAAGTGGATTCCTTTGTTGAGGCACACCCTTCAAGAGATGTTGTTGTTGGTGCTGTTGATGGAACTGCATAAGTCTTTGTTGATGCAAAAGCTGGGCCATGGCAGCAGCTTGAGGTGACTGCCTAGACATTTGAAGTAACTGTTGTTGCTGTTGAATAAACAAAGATGGATCAGCATGTTGTGGTTCAATTTTGATGGGCGCCAGACCTCTCATGCTTTGTAGCTGTTGCGATTCCAGTTTCATTGAGGCAAGATTCCGTAAAGCTTGCAAGTGCTGTGGAGATTGACTTGGAACCTGAGAGGCCAAACCTCTCATGTTTTCTATTTGCTGCTGTTCCAGTTTCACTGTGGCCATGTTTTGTGAAGCTTGCAATTGCAGTGGCATTTGATCATTGGCAACCTGTGGCTCTGGTTTAACAGAAGCAACATTTCCTAATCCACTTCGCATCGAATGAAGCTGCTGGTGCGGTGTCTGAGAACCTTCAGGGGTAGAGAACTGTGGGAGCTGTTGATTATGCTGGAAACTCAAGGGATCCAGTTGTTGGGATTGGTGTTGGTCTGTAAACATTTGGTTCCCAGAAGCACTAAGAAACTTTTGTCCCTGAACTTGGGCAGCCATATCAGAATTCGTGGATGTGGCCATTGGAACAAATGATGAAGGTGGCACATTGAATCCCATTCCATTCCCAACACTAGAAAGTGGATCAGATTCAGCGCCATTGTCAACAAGACCTCTTTGAGTACTCCCGGGTCCAGAGAACCCAGGATTAGGGCCCCTGTTTCCAAACGACTGATGCAGTAGAGACGTAACATTGGAGCCATTCCCGAGCACATTATTCATGTTACCAAATTGCATACGCGGAGATGAGACAGAGGGGAAATCACCCTGTGATGAGATGGAACCTCCCTGACCACCCAAAAGAGCAGAATTTGATCGCAACAGTGAAGCCGGGACAGACTGGGAAGTACTAAGTGTGTTAGGAGCTCCTCGTGGAACCATTTGGAACTGCAAAAAACAACCTAGAAACTCTTATTAATGAAACTTCATAAAATGGCATTTATCCAATGCCTGACATCAGAGTATAGAACACAATAAAACAGATCGAGACCAAGAACAGCTGGAAGAGTAACAACCACATCATTCAGGAGATGAGAAGAGTATTTATTTATATCAAATGAAGAGGTGAATCTAAAGATTCCATTTTTCTCTGTCTTTGAATAAAGGGAAGGAAGACTTTTTCCACTAAATATAATACCTACTGCCTTGTGCCCATTGAGTTCCTTTCTTATTTGGCTTAAGAGCCTTAAAAGCAAGTTGTTCTACCCAACACCAACAGCGAGTTATTTAATGCAATAGTAGAATAAGTTGAAGATAAAAAGCATTACTTTTTAGTTGAATTTACTAAAACAATGATACAGGATGCTTATACCATAATATTCTAGTTACTACACTTAGTTTATTTTTAGAAATAAATTTCATTACATTGTTAGATGATTCGAGCTTGTTTAGCGATCTGAACTGCAATTGCAGCAAATTTAGCGAAATCAACCAAATTTTGCCCCCACGAAACAGGCTTCTAATGAGTCTTTATACATATAATGTCCAGAAACGGGAGATGTTTAGAGTGCTAGATTCAGAGCAAGAGACACTAAAAGTGATGGTGTGCATATAGATTTTTAAGGCAGATTTTGATAGAAATGCATTTGGAACTAAATCAGAACATTTCAAAGGCCCCATTCCAAGAGAAATTAAAGGAAGAAACATTGCTGATATAACAGCTAAGTGAGCTAACCACTAAAGTATAAAATATGAAAACAGCAGGGAAGCAAATTAGGGTTCGGCTCCATCCATATCAAAATCACATTTTTCTGATACAATTACAGTCTCTTCGCCATTTTTGTGTCCCGCTCTTTCCAATCTTTTAACAAACACATTCGAACTCTGTTGGGGGTGTTAAATGTTATCTGATTCATAAAGCATTAGGTATAACTTTCTCAATTTCAATACAAACACAAATTCTATTTAAGCATTTATTACGAAGTATATCTATCTCAAAACAAAGATAAACAAAATTGACAGAACATTCCTAGAATCATATCTAAAAAGACTCATTATGAAGTAATCAAAACAGCAAGTAATTAGGAAACAAATAGCTGAAAAAATTGATTTAAGTGCTCAAATCAGAATACATAAATGAAGAAAACTTACGGGAATCCGATTCAACAGTCAAGGGCAGGACGCCGGAGGAGCTTTAAGTAATTGAGTAGAATTAACCATAATAGGGAGCCCTACATTCACTTGTTTGGTCCTCTGAAATTAGTGAAAAATGATTACTACTTGAGAATAAGAATATGTTGGGCATGTGTGGACTAATTTACAAGTTAATTATGGAGTTTGAATGCAGGCTCTCCAGTTCAGTCAAGTCTTAGACTCTTAGACGCTGTTAGAGAGAGAGAGGGAGAGAGAGAGGGGGGGGGGGGGG